AACATCCTATAGTCAGTTATAATAATAATAATAATAATAATAATAATAACAATAATAATAATAATAATTAAAAAACAACAACAAAAACACATTTAAACGGCACAGATTGGGAGCGAGCGAAGGACTTTGAAAGTTAGCGGAAAGAATAACGTGAGACAACATCCGGTTTCTTCAGACGAGCATCCGGTTTTCAGAATAAGATGCCAACAAAGTATGAATTATATTCACATTAAGTATAAAACATGCTACCTGCATCTCGTGAACCAAATGTTATTGCCCCTTTGTTCATATAGCAGTACTTTTAAAATAAAAGTGCGCAATACACTACTTTTGAATTCATTATTGAACTTTGCCATAACAATGCGAATAATCGTAAAAAATCCATGCGATTAATCGCGATTAAATATTTTAATCGTTGCCCAGCACTAATATTTTTAGATGATGCCATCATAAACGACAGACATTCAAGGCATCATTCAAAAACCTAAATTGAAGCTTAAAATTTAAAAAGATAACATTTGTTACAGCCCTAGAAAATATTGATCAGTTCAGCTTTAAATATACACGTAACTGGAACCTTGAGTATCGGTATCACCGTCACCTTTAAAAACCTAAATCAGTCGACCTCCACTTCACCAGGAGCTGATTCTATTTACTGGTGTAAATGGCTGAATTAAGCACTTGACACTTGATCTGCAGAAGCTGCAGTATTTCACCCTCCACACCCGCCTCCTTTTCACAGCTGATACCCTCTGGAGACCCCTCTCAGCCCTGAGGTTAAAGGTCGCTTTGAGAGAGGGAGAGGGTGGTGATGGTGTGTTGGGGCAGGGGGGGGATGCTATGGGGACATCGGAGGAAGAACAAAGAGTGGGTCATGTGACTTGAGGTGAAGCCTCTTCTTTCTTTTGTGCAGCACATGGACATGAGCATCTGCAGCAGAGGGCCTGAACAGAGCCGCACGCTGCATGAGGACAATACAGAGACACTGTGTCGTTCTTTGTGTGTGAGCTTTAAACGGGCCTAAATAGCCTCCATTCATTGGGTCTTTCTGAAGCTGACTGGGTCTTTACAGGGGAACTGCCCCACTAATTACCATCAGGCGTTGCTCCAGCTTGTTTGACTCTGCAAAGACTATTGTTGTCCTGCGCTGTACCAAGAAGTGTCGAGCCTTGTGATGTTCACTGGTCGTGGTGGTAGTGATGGGTAAGAGGATTGCACTGAATACATCAAGAAGGGCACCCTGAAAGTATACAGCACCATAACCTGCTTATTTAAGGCAACTGTGATTTCTCAGCCTTTGAATGCCAGTCATCCAAAAATAATTCTTTTCTATATACATTGCAGCAGGACAGGAGTGGTCCACAATGAGGGACTAACCTTTTTACACAAGACAAGACACTGAGAACTTTGATTTTGAGGTTCAAATTGGATTTGAAAGTCTTGACAAAATGAACATTTTGAGGACAAATTCATTTGCAATGCAATCGTAATACAATCGTAATGCAATCGTAATACAATCGTAATGCAATCGTAATGCAAGCGAGGCTGGGGAAGTCAGCCTGAACAAAAATGTTGTCATTATTTTATCACCTTATTATATTTATTTAACATTTCTATCATAATGATAACTTAAAGCAAACTCAGGCACATGCCTACAGAGCAAACATCAGCCAGGCTGGATATGTTGCATTGTGTCATCTGCACACAAAAGATGTGACGCTGCCTCAGGAAATTCATTCCCTGTGCTGTTTAAAATGGATTTAAAAGAAATGTCTTTGCAATACATTAACAGTAAGTACAGCAGATTAAAGCTGAAGCATGACGCTGATCTGTCAACTGTGGTTGTTGAGTGAGAGTTTACAGATTATTTCTCACGTAGCTCTGGCTTTGTTTATGGACTGATCGCCTGGTTGCTCGTGTTTCTAGATTCAATGTCCACTTATTAGTGAGATGTGTTTCTCCATAGCTCTGTGATGTTGTGACCAAATGTGATTTACAGGCATATTCATATTTATCAATATTCTAGTTTCACCTTGTGATCTTTACTTTACACGTTTAAATGATTCACCAACATTTGAACTGGCCATGTTCCCTGCACCAGTGACACCGCAGCGTTGGCGTCTGGGGTGTAAAGATATGATGTGACAAGGAGCAATCAACCACCCGCCATCCACCTCAGCCGCCACCTGCTGCCAGCATGAGACTTGAGGGGAAATGCACATTCAGTTCAACATCCGTTCATCACTTCTGCTGAGGATTAAACTGAATATCCACCCTCTGTCTATCAGCAGTGAAACCTGACATTCTCCACCACATATCTCAAAGTATTTCAAAAATGAGGGACATTCCAAAGACTTGTGTAGTAGACTGTCCCAAAGGTCTAGAGGTCACAGCAGACTGCTAAACTGACAAACATCTCTTATGCTGCGAAGTTGAAAATATCAAAATGCATGGACTGTGTTCCACCTTGACTATATGTGAATGCCAATTACTTGCTCTGTGCTCATCTTAAATCTGTGCAACGTACTAAAGTGTGATGTGGAAGGAAGAAGCTTTCAGCTGCCCACTGAAACTTACTCGGAGATTACTGATTTAATCTGCAATAAACTGTATTTGTCCAAAAAATGAAAAATTCAACAAAGAAAGATACTCCATCCTCCAGTCTAGCTGGCAGTGAGACAAAACCCAAGAGATCAACCTGCAATCTCCACTCAGAGAGGAACAGGGATTTAATCCTCCCACCTTCTGTCCGTGGCTTCTGTGCTCCAAACGGAGACAATACCAGCAGGGCCGCTGCCAAGACACATTACACACAGTGTCACATCACACATCGCTACAACCTCCCATAATGGTGTAGAGCATTAATGTGACACACATGAATTATTCTTTGTTTCATTCAACATTGCTGGCTTGGTTACACATCAGCCTTGGTAGTAGTCCACAGGGGATGATTAAATACTAATATTTCCTGAAAGCATTTAGTGAAACCGCACTCTTTCCTTTGGCACTTCCGCACATATTGCTGGGAACAGCCGTCTCTGGAGAACCCAAACCCCCGCTTTACTCAGCGGAGTAACCTATTTGAAGCCACTGGGCTAATTCCAGCTGCCCATCTGTACCAGGGGTGTGTGTTAAGCCAATTATTCACTGCAAATATATTACACCTCCTTTTCTAAGGAGTCAACAGACATCATCTTTGCTCCTGCACCCAGACAGGAGGGGCTGAGGTGCAGGAAGAAGCCTCATGCGCTGTTTTGTTGAGCACATGCAGAAGGATTGGGGCTCCAGGAGGAAATATCACGTCAAAGACAAGAACACACAAACATTCAAAAATGGTTCACTACCATTCATCTCAGCAGTCCGGTCAGCTAGCCAAGCTAGCATCAAGTGCCGGCGCACTTAAGCCAAGAGGAGACACACACAAACACGTCTGTATGGTATGTAGGTTAACTTTGTCTGACCAATCTGCTCTGGTTTCTCTCCTCATAATCTCCTCCCCTGCTTTAACACAGTGGGAGGTACGGCACATAATACCAGAGGATTTCCATTCCTTTACAGAGTGAGAGCAATGCAGCTGGTAAACAACACTAATGTCAAGAGGACAACAAATCATCATTTAAGGTAAAACAACAGAGAATGTAAAGAGAGTTTGACCTATTTGTATTTTTGAAGTTATTTTGAAATTGAGGTGCCAAATGAATTATAACTGTAGGTTCTAAAGCTAACGAGCTCTCAGTGTCCCTCTGTTTGCTTAACCAATGCTGGACAATTAAACAGAAACATCAAAGCAGACTATTTTACCCACACAGGTATCTCTCCAATCACATGACAACACAAACATTATCCACAGCTCAATGACTTCTTTCTTGTTACAACTTTGACCCAAACAAAGCAAACGTCCTCTGGTAATCACATCATGCACATTCTGGATATCACAAACACAGATTATTAACCAGTATAGATTACATTTTTGACTCCACCCAAAGTCACCATTGATCCCATCCCAGGCTGAGTTGCACTGTCAGGATCCCAGTGAAACCAGTACATTGATCCAGCCAAACAGAGAGAGATTAGACAGAAGTGAAAGAAAACATTGATCTCTGGCTGCATCCAAAGTGCACCCCTGTCCCAATGGGTGCGGGGGGTTCACCCCCACACTCCGGCTCCCATCACTCCTCCCACTCCTTCACTCTGCTCGCTTTGCTATGCATCAGCATTGTGTCCTTCTGACCATGTGCTGCTCTCTTGCAGTGCATAAGCCTCGACGAATGAGAGGCACCACCCAAAACAGCAGTGAGGAGCCTTGCATTGTACTGCACAGCTGCCTACACTGTAAAGCTACTGTATTCACAACAAGCTGCATCTGCACTAAAATACTGCTGCATGTACAACGGAGTGTACAGCATGCTTTATTTCCCCCTCTCAGGAAAGAGCCACATGCAGCTACAGTGCACACATCATTTCTCATCAATTGAACTATATGTCAAGCTGTGATAAATGAGTCAATAGAAACGCAGGGCAGCCGAGGAGTCCCAGCTGCCTCAGTCCAGAACAGGGCAAGCGCAGCCAAAAGACTGCACATGCACGTTCCTCTAACCCCCCAGTCTGGGGGCAAAGAGACATTCACCTCAGGGACTGCAGTAAATATGTTACCACACTAACCAGTAGCAAGATGGCTCCAATGCATCAACCTCTGCCACATGTATGTCTGCAAAAGAAGAGGCGTCGGAAAGAAACTTTTGCTTTCAATGAAGGTTCCCTTCATTTGCAGGATGGTTTGATGAAATAATAAAAAGTGAAGACTACAATAGAATGGAGATAAAGACACCAAAACCATAAAGCAGAACACTTTGAGCAAGTTCACCACCTTTACTGCATGCTGCTATACGCTACACAAGCATTTATTGCAAGAGTAGTAGTAGATGGGACTTCCATACAGCGACTTGGCCTCTCCAGGACCTCCCCCAGGTGGTGAAATAGTAAAAGACGGTGGACCGTACCTGTTTGCCAGATGTACAGGGGTTTAGTTTCCACTGCGGTTTGTGCATCCATCTCCCAGATGGAGAGGAAAAGCAGCGCTATCCTCCAGAGAGAGGGGAGCTGTGCCTCTCTCGAGACCCCCAGCGTCCCCACAGCTCTGCTGGCCAGCCCCATGGCCACCGCACGGCAAGTACTGTAGCTCCCAATGCAGTCAAGGGGGGGAAAAACAAGCCTGGCCCGAGGTAGGGGGCTAGACTGAAGTGTGTGTGTTTTCTGCTTCTGCTTTGTCCACACCAGTTCGTTCAAGAAGAAGTAATCCCAGGCAAAGGCGTTCTCCTCGTCCGTTCTCTTTCTCTTTCTCTGTTGGATCCTTAATGAGCGAGAACAGGGTCTGGCAGTAATAAAACAGGGAACAATAGATCCCTAAGCCCAGCCTGCTGCTGCTGCTGTATACCGGGTTGATGCAGCGCCTCCCTCTCTCTCTCTCTCTCTCTCTCTCTCTCACACACGCAGTCACATGCACACACACGCAGTCACATGCACACACACCCGCCCTCTATAGCCTATCTACCCTCCCTCCCTCTCACTCGTCTCTCATCCCTTTTTCAAAGGGCTCAGTGAAGCTGTTCTGCACTCCGATCTGGCAGGTGGAGGTGTATTTGTTGGTAAAATGGACAACACAAATGGCTTAAAATACTACTTACCAAAACATATTGTCATTGCTAGGAAGTGAAATAGGGATACCACAAGGTCGGTGATGGAAAACGTATTCAGATGCTGTACTTAAGTACTAATACCGCACAGTGAAAATAATCCACTGCAGGTCAATATAAGAAATATTATCAACAGAACGTACTTAGTATCTCAAGTAAATCGGATATGACGTCCTATGGGCTTTGTGTGCCATAGAATCACCTACAGCTGGTTGTCATTTATACAGTACCAAGTGAATCCACCATTATGTCATTTTTTCACTATCGTTAACGTGGTAACATGGTACGAGCAGAGCACTCTACTCGTTCTGTTGCTAGAGCACTGCACTCACAAAATGCAGCTCCTCTCCTGTGGAAGCAGGTTCCAGTTTCAGTCCGCGGGGCGGACACACTCACCACATTTAGGAGTAGGCTGAAGACTTTCCTTTTTGATGACGCTTATAGTTCGGGCTGGCTCAGGTTTGCCTACACTGCAGGAGGACCTCCTAGGATACACTCAGCTCCCTCTGCATCTGTATTCATTGATGCCATTAATGCATGGAACCAACTTCTTCCCCAGAGTCTCTGTGCCTTCTTGCCTCGCAGGTTTTCATGGATCAGGGTTACACCTGGACTTGCTGTCATATGCACATTCTGTGAGAGGGATCCCAGAGTTTTCCTTTTCTGATGCAAAGGTCTAAGGACAGAGGATGTTGTATGCTTTGCAGATTGTGAAGCCCTCTGAGGCAAATTTGTGATTTGTGATATTGGGCTATATAAAATTGAATACAATTGAAATTGAAATGCTGGCTGCAAGAACCAACAGAATAGTCTGCTTGTACTCCCATCCTCATCGGAGGATGTGGATAAACTTTTTATTTTTGACTGAAACGTCCCCACAAAAATAATCTTTCTGAATAAGGGTCAGTACAGCAGGATTAACTTCAAACTGAAGCTCAGGATGGATTGATACCAAGTGTCGCTTTACTGTTTATATGCAAGTTAGCCTGCTGTTTTTCCGACACACTGACTTTACTTGGGTGGGCCAAGTAAACCTTTTTTTAGGGTCTGTTATTAAAGATCATTTTAATAATAAATTGAATTACAGAATTGTAATTCTCAGCCATAAAGTAGACTACTATGACACCGTCCTTGCGGATGCCTCAGTCAAACTTTGTTAAGTTAGACTGTTCCAATGTTCCAAGGAGTCTTGCCTAACCTCTGTAGGACACGACTTGTAAGGACCCGTCCTAACAAGGAAGCATGCATGAAAACACCTTAACTACAAATCCCACAATGTCATTACCCACCCTACTCTGCCAAAACTAAAATCCAACACCCAGCAACTATATGAGAACACAGTAAAAACTGCTGATGTATGTACACATAGTGATGCTAGAGATTTTGCTTCTTCATGCAATCCGCACAAACGATAGGATATGTCCATATGAAAGCTGAGACTGCACAGATCCAAGGGTCTCAGTCTTGTCTCTCTATGACCAAACCTCACTGAACCAGCAGCAGAAGAAGGGAAAAATGAAACAGCCATGATTCCTGTCTAACCTTTGCTGCATCTTCAGCCTTCACGTGAAAACAATGTTTCCATCTGGTGGCTGAATCGTGGTACTGCACTCATCCTAAAAGCATTGTCCTTTCATACGTGGTTATAGTTTTCATTGAATGGGAACATGTAAATAGGTCTGATTGATTGTTTAAAAAAACAAAGTCAGAACAGTTGATGGAATAAATAACTATAGTGACATGCAAATAATATAAAATGAGTGTCACATTTGTTTTAGATTCTGGTTTAACATGCCTCTACTGAAACCTCTGCAATTTTGCTCTTCTTCACTGTTTCCTGCCCAGCGACTATGTAAATTAGCTTCTAAAGCGAAGAAGCTGTGCACTGTCCCTGTCAAATGAATAAAATAAAAAATGCAGAAATACATACTTTAAATCAGTGGTTCTCAACTGGTCTGGCTGCGGGACCCACCATCACCCCTTAATGACAAGCCGCGACCCAAATGTTCAACTTCTCAAATGTATTTGATGTAAAGATGGTGCAGTCTGAACCTGAGCTGAAGATGTAGTGTAGGGAGCTCTCTTGTGCAGATAAATTGTTCCTGTAAGTCCCTGTCCCACATGTTTCACGTAAACAAGTAAAACTGCTTTGTTTGTGATGTCTGTAGATTCGTCCATTTGTAATGCAAAATGACCTCTTGCCTTAATTCGAGCTGTGGTCTGTTGTTTGATGTCATCCGACAGGTCTTCAATTCGCCTACTTAGTGTCATTTGACAGAGGTATAGTTTTCAGTTTATCCGCTGCTGATTGATGTAACACGTCCATGTCTATGGCTGCAGGTAAGTAAGACACTTGCGTGATGTCCTCAGGTCTTGAAGTCGTCTTCGAAAGTACTCAACAGGTTTATCTTTGAGAGAAGGTGTTTTGTTTCCAAATGCCAGTTGAGAATCACTGCTTTAAATTAGGAAGGGTTCATCCTCAATCCAATGTATATGCAATCTGGCTCGTACATGTTTCAAATGAGGAAATTAACTTCCTAGAGGCTATCCAGTAGGGCTAAAACCATCAGATTTTCTGGATTCTGGTTGACAAAGAAAGGACACTACACAATACAGTCTTCAAGAAACCTTGTCATGTAGGTAAGTAACATCACTTAAAAATCAGACACACATTATTCAGATAAAGCAGCATGCATGGCTCCCCTTTTAGACATAAATCTGTTTGTATTTGTTGAATTGAGGTGGAGTCAGTTTATCTCAAAACCTGGACAAATAAAACCCCAACCATCCACAAGATTTTATGATGGCAGTTTGTTATAAACAGGAAACACACTTAAGTGTGTGTGAGGTGAGAGGAAGTTGTCTGTAGAAGCAGTAGTGGTTCTGTAGTGAACAGATGACATTGTATTGATCCACAGATGCTCAGTGTACACAGCAGGTCTAATAAGATGTGGGTGATTAGATGTTGAGGTGGAGATCAGGGGACGAGCTTCTCTGACATCCTCTTAAAATACCATCTTTCGCCGTGGTTCAATCTGAAAGGGAATGTGGGAGGAAACCGAATTGATGGGAGAAAACCAATGATCTGGAACATGGGAGAACATGCAGAACTCTATTGACTGGGATCATCTACAAGGTAACACGGTTCAACTGCTTTTTTATTTGTCATTGTACAATAGGGTGCACAACGGAATTCAGATTTTAGTCCCATTTTGCTACATAGGAAAATTACAAAAACAATTTTTTTCATTATATATATGGAGGGTGGAGGATGGCTTCAGGAGTCTCACAGCCAGAGGAAAGAAACTGTTCCTAAGTCTGGTGGTTCAGCAGCTGATACTTCTGTATCTCTCTCCAGACGGCAGTAGGTGAACCGGTGGAGGCCGGGTGGGTTTTGTCTTTTAATACCCCTTTGGCTCTTCGCAGACTCCTCTTCTCACCAATATCAGATGGTGCCAATGATGTTCTGCGTGGTTTTAATCAACCGCTGTAGAGCCCTCCTGTTCTGAGCCGTGCACATCCCATGCCAGTTTGTAATGTTTGCAGTCAGGATGCTTTCTATTGCTCCTCTGTAAAGGCTGACAAGAACCTGGCATGGCACTTTTGCTTTCTTAAGTTAAAACAGTTTAGAGGGATCCGTCACGTAATGATGACTGAACCGGTGCTTGTTCTTAAATCTTCATGGCACTTTTATTACAACATTGTGTTTTGCATTGTTCTGTAGTAGAGAATGACATCTCTCTACTCCTGAGTGTGTTGCAATCTGATCTTCTCTGTGCTTCGTTTACACAGTCCAGCCGGCTGCGTGTGCCTTTTAGTGCATGTTAGTGCATGTGGGTCTCTTTGTTGTGCCCCACTGGCTAGCTAATGGCTGCTGCTCTTATACGCCATCCCCACCTATGGCGTCGTCGTGGAAGTCTAGTGCCCACCCTCCAATTCCCCCACCAGGTAAAACACTGTTAGCTCTGTCAGCTGTTGCTGTTGCTAGCACTGCTCGAGTTGTTAGCACCATTAGCTACTAGCAGCCGCCACAGCCGTCGACATGTTGAAAGCCGTGTAGAGGCAAAAACGCAATCAACTTCATGCTCTAAATTTTAGTGCAGCACCTTTGAGGCTTTGTAAGGGTTTGCATCCCTGATTGTGTACTTGTTTGTGTAGATAAGAATAGAACATTTTATTAGTTAACCTAAAGATGTAATCTTAATCATTTGTGTATATCTGCGTGACCTAGGGAGAAACAACTGTTGAAACGGATATCAAAAACATAAAAAGTGTGAATAAAGGATAAATTATTGATATGGCTCAGTTTGACCTTGTATGATATTCGAGGCAGGTTAAAAAAGGTACTTATTATTAATGATAGGCGACTACTTCACTTAATAGAAGCAGATCCTAAATTTGATCAGCAGCAGGTGGGTCAGTAAATCAAATGGACAATGTCAGACATCACACTCCCACCAATCAGCCATAGGAATGCTATAGGTCTTTATGTGATTTACTGTACAGTATCTATACTCCTTTGGCGCTAATAGTTCATCGCTGTTCTCTCACTTTTTTTTTTTAAATGTCAAAGTGTTACTTCCATTCCGCCGTTTCAACCATGGTCATTGTTAGTAGTACACATGCTATCTTGACTTATTTGAATGTACTTTTTTTACTTAATGTACGTATTTCACAAACGGCAAGTTACCCAGGTTACAAAGCATAATAATTTTAACCCAATTTCTGGATTGACTTTAAGCGTTTCCTTATCT